GGTGGTTGAGAAACTGTGGCCCACTTTATGGAATCAACTCACCTTTTTGACCTTTTGTATTTGTTTTATTGTACCTGTCATATGTCTTTTTAGTTTTTTGCTATTGGGTGCATGTGCTTGCCAGAGGGGGTGAGGAGAGTGAGAAATCATCCCCCGGGGTCCCTTCTCCTCTTGGGATTCTGGGCACATAAGCACATATGCCTGACACAGTTTTTGTTTGTTTGTTTTCGAGAGATTTTTGCTATAGGGTGCGTGTGCTCGCGGAAAGACAGAAAGCAAGAAATTACCCCTCGGGGGGATGGCCATGCCTCAATCCGTTCTCCTTGGTTCTCCTCTTGGGATCTTGGACACGCACACACATGTGCCCAGCATGAATTTAAACCACTGGGTCCACGACTCGAACTGTGGTCGACTACATGGGAGTCCAACAACATAGCCATTACACCAACTGCTGGTCCCAAGAGTACATATTTTCTTATACTCTTTTTCATCCCATAATTGTAATCGACAGTCTTTGAGTCGATTTTAAAAACTGTATGCACCGTCAGTCTAGTTTGTGAATGTGTTATCCCCCAGGCCCTTGCTACCAGTTAGCTGCTGTTGATGCCATTTTTAATACTGTGTTTTTGTTTTTGATTTTTTTTAGAGACATTTTTGCTGTAGGGCACATGGTCTCACTGGAGACACAGAGAGGGAGAAAGTGAGAAATCACCACCCAGGGGGAATGACTATGCTGCAGTCCCTTCTGTTCCATTCTTCTCAGGATTTTGGGCATGCATGCACACATGCCTGGCATGAGTTTCAGGCTACCAGGTCTGGGACTTGAACCGTGGTCAACCATGGTCATCCAGTACCACAACCACTATGCCACTGCTGACCTCTGTTTTTGATTTTTTAATTTAACTATAATTCCCCAAAAAGTCTGGGATAGATAGAAAAAGTTCTTTTGTATTTGCTTTTATTATTGGAATCCAGGTTCTTGGCAGAATATTTCAAAATCACTGTTTCTTGCATATACTAATTATAAAAATAAGTATTTAGCTAACTTCACTTCCATCTCTGGTTATTTTATTCTAATACAATATAATATTTATAGCAAAAATTGTTTCTATATGTGTAATATCCCTTTCTTCCCATTTTTATCTGGGGCAGACATGGGAATGTAATGTTGCTTTATGTTTTTATGCTATTCTCTAAGTTAAAAATGTTTTGTTGTTTTTATTTATTTGTTTATTTTTGGAGAGATTTTTGCCTATAGGGCATGTGCGTATACCACAGAGACAGAAAGAAGTGAGAAATCACCCCCCCCCAGGAGGGATGGTCCCCCAAATTCCTTCTCCTCTCGGGATTTTGGACACACACACACACACACACACACAAACACGCAAACACACACACATGCCCATTATGAGTTTCGGGTCCAGGACTCAAACCTCAGCCAGCCATGTGGAAATCTAGTACCTCAATCACCATTCAATCTTCTGGCTCCCCAATTTTTTTTTTTTTTTTGAAATTTAGATCTTTATTTTGAGAAAATTATAGATTCACATGCATGCAGAAATAATAAACAGATTCTGTACCCTTCACCCAGTACCCCACCACCACCACCGCCATGGAAAGATCTTGCAAAACTGAGTACATCATTACATCCAGGATATTGTCACTGATGGAGTCAGTGCAGTCGAGCTGCAGGACTTTTCTGTCAAGGCAAGGATCCCTTGCCCTTCTTATGAACACATACCTTCATTCCCGTCTTCACTCCTTCCTAATCCCTGAAAATCACAAATCTGTTTATTGTTGTTAGTTTTGTTTTTTAGTTTGTTAGAGGGTATGTATACTCACCAGAGAGAGAAAAGGAAAGTGAGAAAGCACCCCCTGTGGGAAGCAGTCACATTGTAATCCCTTCTCTCCTCCATTTCTCCTTTGGGATTTTGGGCAGTTGCATGCCTGGTGTGTTTTTCAAGCCACCAGGTCCCAGACTTAAATCGTGCTTTCGGCCACGTGAAGTCCAGGCATCTTAATCACTGTGCCACTAGCTGGCCTCTGTGCTTTACTTCTGTAGTTAAGCCATTTCAAGAATGTTACTAAATGGAATCTCATATTAGGTAACCTCTGGGGGTTGGCCTTTATCATTCAACATAATTCTCTGGAAATTAACCCAAGTTTTTTTGTGTCAGTTGTTTATTTCTTTTTGTTGCCGAATAGCATTCCACGATATGGAACTGCCACTGTTTGTTTAACCGTTCATTGCAGGACTTCTGGGTTGTTTCTGGTTATTGGCTAGTATGCATAGAGTTGCTATCAGGGTACTTAGATTTTTTACATGCACACACATCTTCATTCCCTTGGGGTAAACACCCAGTGAAACAATTGCTATATTTTATGGTTGCACATAAGGAATTGTCAAACTGCTGTCCAGAAAGGCTGTACCATTTTTTGGTATTAATTATTTTATAATTTTTTACTTATCAGTGGCTGATAGGATTTGAGCAGATTTATGCTAAAAGTTGCACTTGGCTAGTGGCTGGATCATGCACTACAGGGTCAGGAGTGGTCAGGAGTGGTGCCCTATCCTCCCTCTGACCTGGAGGGGGTTCTCTAATGCCCTCCTCTCTGTTAGTTCCCCTCTCCTTTTCTTTGCTCACCCTTATAGCTTAGGGAGGTCCTGAAAAGCTCTACTGTGGGTATCCTCAGATGGAGCAGGTAGCCACTTCCTACACCCTGAGTCTGAGGAGAGGGAGAATGTAGACCTGCCAGCCAGTCAGGGGGAGAGTCCAGATTCCTCAGGCACTGTGAGGGTTTCTTTTGCGTACCACATTATGATGGGAGTGGGGGGATATACAGAGTTCTTGGTCTCCATTTGTGGTAGATATCTTCAGTCGTTGGGGGTATTCATCCTGTGTCTCCCCATCACAGGAAGCTCTTCTGTGTTCTTACAGGGCTGTGGACACCACAGCCTGGTTCTGAATGTAACCTAAGCTCCACCTGCATGTTGGCTCTCAAGATGGGTCAGAGCTCTTGGAGCCTGGGATAGGGGTGGGTTGGAGGGTTCAGTGTTTCCTCCGACATACTTCTGTGTACTGCCCTACGGATGTGTGTTAGCTCTGTGCCAGTTTCATTGCTCTTCTGCAGGAGGGGGATGCTGGATTCCAAAGTGGGAGTATGGAATTTTAAAAAAAATTATTTAGTTTTATTTGTTACTATTTATTAATTTGACTAGAAAGAGAAAGAGGGCAAGAGAGAGAGGGGAAAGTGAGAAGGCAAGCCTCCAGGTCCAGGACTTGAACCGTGTTTGGCCATGTGGGCATCCAGTTCCTTAACTACCACCTTGCCTGCTGTCCCCTCCTCCTTTTTAATTATTGGGAGTATGGAATTTGACCTTTCAGAGGAGAGTTCCTCTGCCTTTTCCCTCATTGTGGGGAGGGCTCGGAAGCATCCCAAGTTCAGATGACTGACTTCTCTTTTCATTTCCAAGTAGAGATTCAGTGCTCCAGAAGCTTCTGCCGTCTTTTTCTTGCACTTCGTGTCATACTCCACTCCTCTGATAGAAACATAGGCATTTTTTAACTCTGTTGGCATTTTTTCCCATAGAGATGCCATAGTGGTATTTCTAGTTCGCCATCTCGATCCTTCTGCTGACAAAACTGTTAATGAGGCAGATGACTCATTAAAAAAAAAAAAAATGCAGCAGAATGCCTCCTCATCCCTAGAGGACACTCCCTGGTCCCGTCACTGCTTCTGATGTTGCATTTCACATTTTCTGGTTTGTCACAGAGGACTCAGATGAACACCAGATGAAGGGATACACAGGGCAAGTCCAAGAGGGTCCAAGCATGGGAGCGTCTCGGCTGTGCCATTTTAAATTCCCACCAGTCAACATATGAGTGATTCAGGTTTTCTGCATCTTTCCCAGCAATTGGTGTCGTCACTGCTTTTTACTTTAGCCATTATAATAGTTGTGTGGTTCTGATTGGTTTTAATTTGAATTTCCCTAATGGCTAATGATTAGGAACATGTTTTCATGTGCTTATTGGCCATCTGTATCTTCTCTTTGGTGAAATGACATTTCTCTTTTTTTGTCTGTGTTCAGAATTCTCCAAAATAAAAGGTTAAAAATAAATGAATCCTTTCAGGTTTATTTCTGGATTTCAGTTTCTTTTCCTACATCAGTTGCTCTGTTTTTGTCACCAGTATGTGGTGGTTCTACGCCTGTAATTTAAAGCATTGGGAGAACTAGTTGCTATTTGTGGTGATCCCTTCTCCTGCTTTTTGGCATATGAAATTGGTTATTGCTTATTTTTATAAAGAAACGTTTTGGAGTTTTTATGGTCAGTACAAAAAAAGAAAGAAAAATGTCCCAATACTAAATATGTCATTCTGTGTAGGAACACTTGCGTCTTTATAAAACCACCTCAGTGGTGTTTTCTATTTAGATATTCATATATTTAGTATTTTTCCCTCAACTTGTTGTTGTTTTTTTAAAGAGATTTTTGCTATAGGGCATACATGCTCACTGGAGAGAGAAAGAGTTAGAGACAAAAAACAAGAAAACACATTCCAGGGGGGATGGCCATACTGCAATCCCTTCTCCTCGGTATTTTGGGCACACATGCAGACATGCCCAGCATGATTTTCAAACCCCTGGGGTCTGAGACTCAAACTTGGTTGGCCACATGGGATTCCAGCGCCTTAACCACTATGCCACCTGCTGGCCCCCATTTCCCCCTCAGTTTGAATGTGGTAGTTTTCTCTGTTCCCATCAAAATTTGCTCATTGGTTTATTCAATGAATATTTGAGTGTCAGCTATGCCAGACACAGTGCTAAGTACTGAGAATTAATTAGCCCCCCTCCAAATAAAAAGAAATCTAATGCTCTCTTGGATAGCACATATGAGGGATCTGCAAAAGGTTTGTGGAAAATGTATATTATGAAAGAAATGATTCCTGAATTTCAAAAGTTTTTGTATCAAAATTAATTTATATTTTAATCTCATTTATCCATGATCTTTTTAAAGTCTCCTATATACTAAAAGTGGAACAATACTGAGAGGATTAGCATGGCCCTGCCATAAGGATGAATCCAAATTTGTGAAGCATTCCATATTTTTTAAGAAAAGAAATAAAAAGGAACCTACCTAGCCATTGAATCTTCATGCTTTAGAGCTGCAGTGGGGCTTGACACTCCATTCTGAGAGAGGAGCACCTGGAGAGGGCCAAGCTGGAGAAGCCCAGGAGAGGGAGCTCTGCAGAGCTGCCTTTTAGTTTTTGCCATAGGGCGCTTGCACTTGGTGGAGATAGAAAGAGAGAGAGGAAGGGAGAGAGAGAGAGAGAGAGAGAGAGAGAGAGAGAAATCTCCACTTTGGAGCAATAGCCACACCACAGTCCCTTCTCTTCCACACTTTTCTAGAGATTTTGGGCACACACACACCCTGGCATGTTTTTTTTTTTTCAATTGACCGGATCTGGGGCACAAACTGTGCTTTCAGCCATGTGGGATTCAGCTACCTTAACCATCACAGTACTGGCTAGCCTTTAACCATCTTTAAGTGTATAATTCAGTGACATATTCTTTTTTTATCAGTTTATTTTCTGAAAAGTTTATCTCACGAGAGAGAGAGATAGCACCCCCAACAGGCTCCTAATTCAGTGATCTGCCCCCAGCCCCCGCCAGTACCACTTAATGGGTGAGTGCCTGGCATATTTAGGGAAGTCTCCAGATGTGAACTCGAACCTTCCCAAATGAGAGTCCCGTGCCAGAGCATCGTGTTCTCTGTGCCACGGTCTGCTGCCTCAGTGGCATCTTAATTAGCATTTTGATTAAATATAAGATAACACTTTGAATGGTTTGATTTTTAAAGATTGCAGATAGGAATTTCTGTTTCAATCTAACAAATACTTCCTTAACATTTTAGTAATTAACTAAATCATTGTAGATTAATTTATTCAGCAACTGTCTTTTGATTCCACTCTGTGCCCAGCGTCTTGTTAATGCAGCAGGACACAATTACTACCCTAATGCTACTTATATTCTCATATGTAATGTTTTTTTCTTGTTTTCTTTTCTTTTTTCCATGTAGTTTGGTAGTAATACACCATAGCTATTGAGTATGAAACCATTTTGGCCTCAGTAGGTTTGTACAATCTATTTGAAGACAGTTTTAGACTTTTTAAATAGCACCGGAGTTTATTAGAATGTTATAAAGTAACTATGATGAGGTATTTTCTTCAGATTTTAGAATATGTTATGTATATTTTGTAAAATATAGTGAGTGGTATTTTCTTGCACCTCTCATTTCCTGTCCATGCTTTGAGCTGGTTGTCTTGTGCATGGGACATGGGCTGCCCACCAGCACTTAAAAAACAAAAAGTTTATTTATTTATTTAATTCCATTTTTTGTTATTATCATTTTTTAATTTGACTAGAGAGAGACAGAGAAAGAGAAAGCAAGAAAGCAAGCCGCCAAGTTCAGGACTCAAACCATGGTCGGCTATGTGGAAATCCAGCGCCTTTAACCACTGTGCCATGCCACCCGTCGGCCCTCCCATCAGCACTTTTCTCAAAGGCAGTAGCTGACCAGTGAGAGGCAAGGAAGTAGTCATGCATCATAACCAACTTTCATATATCTAGGACAGTCTTAAGATATATTTATAAACAATTTAGCAGTAGCACTTTGTATGTGCATGACAGTTTACAAAGCTCTTTGACATATGTGCCCTGATTCAACCTTAACTAATAAGGAAGACAATAATTAGGAACTAGCAGAGCTGAGGTTCAAACCCACACTCCTCTCCAAGTCCTGTGTGCACTAAACTAGGTAACCTAGGCAGAAAAGCCCAGCTACTCTCAGGTTAGTTTTAGTTTGTTGTGTAG